CCCCCAGAGGCCCAGGCTGGTCCAGACGGGTCGGACTGTGACCCTGTGACGGGTACAGACAGCCCCTTTCCCAGCGACCCAGGCCCATGGAATACTCTGGGGCGGGGAGGTGTCACGTGGGAGCGAGCAGCCTGTGGGCCCAGCCGTTGGAGCCCTCGATGGCCGTGACCTAGACAGGTGGGAAGGGAGCGGCCTCCTGCCGGCCACACGAGTCCTTCTCCACCCTTCTGCTGGGGAGGAAGGTAACTAGATGAGAGTGGGCAACACCGTTTCCCTTCCAGGGCTCCCCACCCCACCCTGTCCGCCTCCCTCCTTCCCTGGACCAGGCAGGAAACCTGACGCTCCTTCCCTCCCGCCCCAGTGCTGCCCTGCCCACCGCAGGCCCCACCTCCAGCCCAAACCTGAACCCGACCCTGAACAGCTGGGTGTAGCCAGCCAGCTGCCACCACAGGCCACACATGCCACCCACGGCCAGACATGACTGGACCTGGGGCGGCTGCCCCAGGGAGCTGGAGCAGCCGGTATGCTACCTATGGCCTGGACGTGACCCGAGGGTCATGGGACACGCGGTGCCTGACCCGGCCGGGCCTCTCAGGCACTTCCTGGCTGAGAACCTCCGCAGTAGCTGTTGCAAAACCCCACAGCCCCGCCCAAGTGCCTGCAGGAACTCTTGTGGCAGCGGCCTGGTGGTGGCACACGTGGGACACTCCTCAGCCCCCCACTTGGGTCACATGCATGCCACCTGATGGGTCTCACTGTCCAAGATGCCCACCACCATCTGGAACTGGGCCAGGCATTCTGGACCCCGTGCCGGTCCTCAGGCTGTGACACGGTTTAGGTTGAGGATGGAACGGGTGCCCCTTGATGGCTGGTGTTACGTGTAGTTCACATCCTGAACAACCGTGGGCATCCCCGCTCTGTGCCAGCTCAGGATCTGATGCCAAATCTCCTTTTCTTTTTTAAGATTTTTATTTTGAGAGATTTTTGCTGTAGGGCACATGTGCTAGCCAGAGAGACAGAGAGACAGAATGTGAGAAACCACGTCCAGAGAGGACATCCACGCCACCATCCTTTCTCCTCCATTCTCCTCCCAGGATTTTGGGCAAGCATGCACTGCACCCCACGTGAATTTTAAGCTGCTGGGTCCAGGACTTGAACCGTGGTCAACTATGTGGGAGTCCAGGGACATCATCATTATGCCATCTGCTTGTCCCACAGCTCCTTTTCTGAAAAGATTACCAAAATCTGTACCGTCTACGGGCCAGCAGGTGGTGTGGTGGCGCTGAACTCCCACATGGCCGTCTATGGTTCGAGTACCGGACCTGGTGGCTTGCTTTCTCACTTGCCCTCTCTCTCTCTCACTCTGTCCCTCTCTGGTCAAATTTAAATAAATAAAAATAAATAAAGTTCAATAAAGTAATTTTAAAAATATAAAACAATGAACTGTGGTCACGAAGAGCCTCCTTTGAGTCAGAGGTGACCTAATTGTCCCCACACCCAGTCCTTTGGGAACTGGAACTTCACTCCAGGAGCCCGGCCGGCATCTCTTCGGCGTCCATCAAATCAGGCCCGTCCTCTCCCTGTCCCCCTGCCTGCAGCGGCTCTCTAAAGAGGTGCAGAACGCCCTGGCCAGGGCCAGCAACACGGCCGAGGAGACCATCAGCGCCATGAAGACGGTGCGCAGCTTCGCCAACGAGGAGGAGGAGGCCGAGGTGTACCTGCGGAAGCTGCAGCAGGTGTACAAGCTGAACAGGAAGGAGGCGGCCGCCTACATGTACTACGTCTGGGGCAGCGGGGTACGTGCCCGGCCGGCAAGTCCTCCCCGGGCGCGGCAGAGGGTGGTCCCGGCGCCTAGCACACCCCCTCTTCCCTCTGCCCGGGGAGGGGCGCAGGGCAGGAGCTGTCTCTTCCCCATGGGGTTGATATCTTTGCCAAAGAAAGGAGTCGGCAGGCCCCACCCTGAGCCCAGCTGAGCCCAGCTAAGCCACTTCCTGGCAGGTCCCATGTCACAACCATGCCGGCTGAGTGAGTCATGCCCTTCCTTGGAGAAGGGCGGCCCCCCGCTGGTATCCCCACCACCGGCCATGATGGGGAGGCGCTGGGGTGGGAGTGAGGGGGCTGGTTCACAGGAGGAAGGAGCATCTCCTGGGAAACTGCGGGGTAGGGGCTACCTGGGCCCATTCGCTGGGACAGGTCACCCCCAGAGCAGCCAGCCAAAGGGGAGAGAGGGCTGACGCTGCCTCTATCTGCCATGCCTTTAGCGGTCTGCCCACAGCAGGGGCTCCGGAGCTCCCACAGGGCCCCCTGGCTGTCATGGGTACCCAGACCCCACTGCTCTCCCAGTACCCACCTGGGCGCAAGAGCAGGAAGGAGGCGAGGGTGCCCCAGACCCTGCCCCTCCGTGGAACCCAGTGTGGGGAAATGGAGACTCCTGTCCTGCTCTGCCCGCACGCTGTGTGGCCCTAGCCAGGGCGCTCAGCCTCTCTGAGACATGCTCTTCCTAACTAGGTCGACTAATGGGCCTCACAGGGCCTAAGAGAGCAGCTGGTGGGCAGCATGTGTGTGCCAGGGCTTTACAAAGAAGGCCTTGTTCTCTGGCCACCACCGCCTGCTTCAGCCGGGGCCTTCGAGGGAAATGCTCCGGGGCGGGGGCGGGAGCCTGAGTGACTGCCAACAGTGGGGAGGACGGTACCGCTGCCAATGGCGGCTTCCCAGTGGCTGGGGGCGTGCACCCACGGGGGCTGCTCTCGCCTCCCCCGGCAGCCTGGGGGATGGCAGAGACCTGGTTCTGCTCGGCCCACTCGCTGTGTGAGCTAGCCAGGGCGCCCAGCCTCTCTGAGCCATGCCCACTGACCCGCCCCCTCTCGCTGTGCCCAGCTCACCCTGCTGGTGGTCCAGGTCAGCATCCTGTACTACGGGGGCCACCTCGTCATCTCAGGGCAGATGACCAGCGGCAACCTCATCGCCTTCATCATCTACGAGTTCGTCCTGGGGGACTGTATGGAGGTGAGGGGGTTCTGGGAGGAGGGGCTGTGTGGGAGAGGCATCTGGATGGGGTGGGGTGCCCTGCGGGTCAAGGCATGTGGTACTTCCTCCTAGGGAAGGGAGCGGAGGGGACAGGACAGTGCCTCAGAAGGTAAGACTGCCAGTCAGAGGTACCACGTTCACCACACGGGTGGCAGCTGCCCGACAATTTCGGGAGATGCTCCCAAGAGCTCTGAGGGCTGGGACCTCCAGATGGCGTAAAGTTTACGTCGCTGGACTCCCATGTAGTCAACTGTGGTTCAAGTCCCAGACCTGGCGGCTTAAAATTCATGCTGGGCGCATGTGTGTGTGCGTGTTCCCAGAATCCTAAAACGAGAATGGAGGAGACGGGATTGCAGCGTGGTCATCCCCCCAGGGGGTGATTGCTTGCTTTCTGTCTCTGTCTCTCCAGAGAACACACACGTCCTTTTGCAAAAATTTCTTACAAAAGAAGAAAAACACCAAGGCAGCTGAAAGACCAGCACTGGGGTGTGGCTTTGCCACCTTCCAGGGACACTTCACTTCTCCGCCTCGCGTCTTGTCCTCTGAGGGCCGGGCCAGGCGGTGCTGCGGGGCCAGCTCTTTTCACTTTCCTCATTGCCACTCTGCTTCTCCTCCGGCCGGCAGGGGTGCCCATTGCTGGCCCTTGCTCTCTGCCACCACTCCTCTCTCGGTCCAGGGCGGGCGCGGGCTGGGGGCTCAGTCGGCCTGAATGCGTGTCTCCTCCCCCTGCAGTCCGTGGGCTCCGTCTACAGCGGCCTGATGCAGGGAGTGGGGGCGGCCGAGAAGGTGTTCGAGTTCATCGACCGGCAGCCCACCATGGTGCACGATGGGAACTTGGCCCCTGACCACCTGGAGGGCCGGGTGGACTTTGAGAACGTGACCTTCACCTACCGCACCCGGCCCCACACCCAGGTCCTGCAGGTGAGGGGCCTCCAGCCTGCGGACCGTTCCTTGCCCTCCTCCCCTCCTCATGTGTCACCAGAGCACCGGCCCTGGGCCGCGGAGCAGCCAGGAATGTTAGGCTCCAGGTGGGGAAGGTGGGTCCTTAGCAGACGGACCAGATAAAAAGGGCTTGAAAGGAAACAAGCCAGGGGTCAGAGGGGTCAGGTCTGCTGAGTATGGCAACCGCAGTCCGTATCTCCCGGAGAAGGAGCTGTCCAAGCCGAGGCCTGACCCAGGAGCAGGAGCCCGCCAGACTTTCTGCAGAGAACAGTTCCGGGAGACGGTCAGTGTAAAGGGGCTGCCAGGCCCTAGTGTCCCAAAAGGAGGACCCTCAGGGCCGACAGCACCCACCGAAGCAGAGGGACAGAGGTGGGCCGGACAGGGCACCTGCCTGTGTTGGAGGCCAGAACATCCAGTCCACAGACCAGTGACCCTCGCCGTGCCGGCCTCTGTCCCTTCCAGAATGTGTCCTTCAGCCTGTGTCCGGGCAAGGTGACGGCGCTCGTGGGGCCCTCGGGCAGCGGGAAGAGCTCATGCGTCAACATCCTGGAGAACTTCTACCCCCTGGAGGGGGGCCGCGTGCTGCTGGACGGCAAGCCGATCGGCGCCTACGACCACAAGTACTTGCACCGCGTGGTATGTGGGCGGGCCACCCTCCGCCCTCGGTCCCTGGTGGTGTGGAGGGCGGCAGTGCAGGGAAGGGCACTCGGATGAGTGTGCGAGGGTATCACCGGCGTGGCCGCCCGGGTCAGCACGGAAGGCACTGGCACGCCAGGCCCCAGGCGACTTTCTGCCCTCCGGAAGTAATGTCTCGCCTCTTTTTTGTCAAGTTTATTTGTTTCTTCTATGAGAGACAGAGGGAGAGAGTGACAGAGACAGTCACCCCCGAAAGGGTCTGCATGCCCTAACCGACCCCAGCCACAGCCGGCTCAGATCGCGGGGACAGGGAGGCCTCAGGATGCGAACCTGGGACCTTCCCTGTGGGCCCAGCATCGCAGAGCATTGCGTGGCCACTGTGCCACCTGCTGGCCCCTTGCCTGACCCTGATGGTCGTCCTTCTCTTCTTTTTTCTTGTTGGAAAGCAAGAAATTACCCCGGGGGAATAATGGCTGTGCTGCGATTCCTTCTCCTCTATTCTCCTCTCTGGGTTTTGGACACAGACACACGTGCAAACGGAGTGATTTTATTTATTTATTTTTTTAAAAAAGAATTATATACTTTTATTTGTTATTATTATTATTATTATCATTAATTTGCCCAAAGAAAGAGAGAGAGAAAGGGAAAGTGAGAAAGCAAGCCGCCGGGTCTGGAACTTGAACCGTGGTTGGCCATGTGAGGGTCCAGCACTTTAACCACTGCACCACCTGCCGGCTCCAATTTTCTTTTTTCTTTTCTTTCTTTCCTTTTCTTTCTTTCTTTTTTTTTTTTTTAGGCTTTTGCCATACAGTGCATATGCTTGCCAGAGCAAGACAGAGAGGGAAAGTGAGAGATCACTCCCAGACGGGACGGCCACACTGTAATAATCCCTTCTTCGTTCTCCTCCTGGGGCTTTGAGTATGCGCACAGGCACCTGGGGTGATTTTCAAGCTGTTGGGCCTGGGACTTGAACCACAGTCAGCCGTGGGAGTCCAGCACCTCACCCACCACGGCCCTACTGGCTCCCTGGCATGATTTTCAAGCCACTGGGCCTGGGATTCGAACTGCACAGCCAGCCATGTGGGACCTAGCACCCTAACCTCCACACCACCACTGGCTCCCCCCCACACCCA